GTTGGAATTGGGTATGTCTAGTTTAATGAAGAGAAGGACGAGGGGGGACATGATAGCAGTGTTCCAATATCTCAGGGGCTGCCACAAAGAAGAGGGAGTCAAGCTATTTTCCAAGGCACCTGAGGGCAGGACAAGAAGCAACGGATGGAAACTAATCAAGGAGAGAAGCAACCTAGAACTAAGGAGAAACTTCCTGACAGTTAGAACAATTAACCAGTGGAACAACATGCCTCCAGAAGCGGTAAATGCTCCAACACTGGAAGTTTTTAAGAAGAGACTGGACAGCCATTTGTCCGAAATGGTATAGGGTTACCTGCCTGAGCAGGGGGTTGGATTTGATGACCTCCAAGGTCCCTTCCAACTTTATTACTATTATTATTGTTGTTCTTCTTGTTGTTGTTGTATATTTGCGAATGAAGGCAAATATACAAGTCCCAGCATAATGTTGCAGGATCCAATCTGGGTTGGTCACTGGGACCAGAGGTTCAGTATTCCAAGCTTTTTGACTTGTGCTGGAGCCCATCTTCAGGGAACTTCTCTCTAGCAGAGTCTGTGCTTTTTAAAAAAATCTGGATGGGAGAGGGAGAGACATACCAGCAGAATCAAAGGTGCTTTTTCATGAGTCAACTGGACTTTCTTTTTCCTCTTTGAAGATGTTTTTGCTCAGAGCTGAAGAAGCTTCTTGGATGAGAAGCAAAACATCTTCAAAGAGAAAAAAGAAAGTCCAGTTGCCTTGTGAAAAAGCACCTTTGGGACAACCATGACTTGGATGACTGAGAATCTCCATAAACTAAGATAATATTTTTTGAATTTTTAACATGTCGAGCTCAGAAGGTTTGCCATCACTGACCTAATGATGAACTAGTCCCTGTGCAACAGAAGGGATCCAGGGAGTGTCATATTGATTGGAGTTGGTGGGAAAGGAAAGAATTTTGATTCCTTCCCAATTTACTCCACCCACTTCCCTCCTTTTCCAGAAGAAGTTCCACTTTCTGGATAGAATGTAATTGAAGGCTTCAAAGAGAAGGGAAGCATAGCATAATCCAGGTCATATATGATTTAAAATCAGCTGCAGCAATAGCAGCCTACGCCAAACTGCATCTATCTATCCACGTCCAGCCTGACATAGTTGCTTACCAAAAGTGAGTGGATGCCACTTCAAGAAGTAATTTCTGATCCTGGAGGCCTCCCCAGCTCAGAACAGACTTCCAAAAAGTGACATCCATACACTTCTGGCAGGCCATTCTGGGACGCCTTCCCGGCTCAGAACGGACTTCCAAAAATGGTGTCCACACATTTCTGGCAAGCCGTTCTGGGAAGCCTCCCTGGCTCAGAACGGAGTCCCGGAAGCAGCACCCAGTGGGCCATTCTGGGCCTTGCAAAAAAGGGCTAGGGAATCAACCAGTTCACCAAAGTCAACAAAAAAATAGCTGCTGGTTCTACCAAAATGGTGTGAACTGGCTGAATCCCACCACTGCATCTGCTCCATTGTCCTCTGTTTAAAGAGAAACAGTAGATTCACACTTCTGCTTTCCTCTATTGTTTGAGGAATTCCATAAAGATAGGATAGGAATATTGAATCAGAAAGTACAATTTAGGGTCACTGAATTGGCAGCAAAATGTAGATTATTACTGAAAGGAAAAAAGATATTAAAAATTTCTTTGCTATCCTATGAATTTTCTGTGTATTACAGCATAGATCTGGTTGTCTTATGATATCTAACACATGATATTTACAAATAAGTGATAAATAAGGTGGTTTACTGAATGCATGGAACATGGTAGGCAGTGCCCATCTGCTGTAATGGAACAGCCTTCACTATGTATATGAATAAAATATTGATTTATATAAATGGAAATTGGCTGTTGTTTAAGAGAAGGCAGAAAGATTTCTCTCAGCAGCTTGAAAGCCAATAATTAATTGCAGTACTTTCCCCAGATCTATAAGTAGAGCATAAAAGATGTAAGCTCCATGAGCATGACAAGTAAATACCACCAGATGTCATATACACATTAACGTAAGAGAAAATCAGATATATTTGTCCCAATAGAGGCAACAGGCGAATGGTTCATTGGCAAAAAGTCCTAGTTTAAATCCCCAGAGATCTCAATTAAAGAATGTAAGGTAGCATAATTGGGAAAGAGTAAAACCACAGAGGCCTGATCCTACCTAAGTACAATGTTTTTATAAAGATTTAGATTAGTAACATTGCCATAAGCTGTCTGGATAATCTTGGGCCATTCACTTCATATAGGTCTATTACCTCCCACCAGCTTGTTCTGGTGATAAAAAAAAACCTGTAGGTGGGGAATCAGTCTTCAGGTTCTTGGAAGACAGCATTATTTAAATATCTTAAGCAAAAATAGTGCACATACGACCAGCACTTCAAGGGCAGTTTGAGCCAGAGGCATCTCTGTGTTACAGGCAGCATTTTAAAAGTAATTGTGAAGCAGAACTGATCCCTAATGATGATGTAAGCCAAAAGATCATGCTGTTTGTTGAACACATGGATACTTTTGTTTGCCTTAAATTGTTTTTATTTTGTTTGACAATGTAATTTAGAGGTATAGTAATTGGAGTGACATTATGGAAAGTAGATCATACATTTTATTTTTATTACTCTTGTGAATGTATTGAATTCTATTTAAAAACAGAAAGGATGAAGTATGGATTAAAGAACTCATTTTGCATCTAAATATATATTTATACTGGTGTTCAAAAAATTATGATAAATCAAATCTATAATTAGTTTTTCTCTACATTCTCTACAAAAATGAGTGGCTAATGGTGAAAAAATTTCAACAAGGAGCTTTGCACTCTGAGAAGTTGTTTGCACGGGACACAATCAGGATGTGTGGACCAGATGTGTGAAAAAACCTCAGGTATTTTAATAATGTGAAGAGAGTTTTGTCTGAAATGGTATAGGGTTTCCTGCTTGAGCAGGGGGTTGGACTTGAAGACCTCCAAGGTCCATCCCAACTTTGTTATTCTATTATTCTATTGTTCATATTAGTATATTTTTCAAATGTTTCACACTGGTCTATTTATTATAATATTTTAATATTCACAAGTACTGAAATTATAAGCCTAATTTGAAAAACTTGATAGTATGTAAAAATAATATAAAGCTAAAGCTGATATTTGGGTTCCTGGCATTTAAAAACCAAAAAGTATTTGGCTGCATTGCAAAAGCAAGAACAGGACAAAATAATTGTAGTGTTCATTCATTAACTTCGTTATAACGTGTTAACTGAATGAAGGACTCATTGTCAAAATTTATCTTAAATTTACTCCTTTTCCTTTCCTGTGTATACATCACAGATATTCATGGCTCTTTAGTGTTTAATATAACACTTAAGGTTTTACTTCTTAAACCAGATTCTTACTTAGGCATAAATGGAAACAGGACTAGCAAAGGGATATAAGAAGCAAACTAATGCTTAAATTTTTAAAACCCTTTTCTGATTCAAAACTGCTTGAATAATAAATTAATTGTCCCTTTCAACATCCTTAATCATTTGCAACATGTCAATCATCAAAATATAAGGAGATGATAGTCTACATCTGACAGTTGTAGAATGGATTTTAATTTTTATAAAATACTTAAGGTTAATTATAGGGTGTCAAAAATAATCATTTTTAATTGAATTCATCAGTAGATGAAACAAAATGACAGACAAAATAAAAATAACTTTTCATGATGGGTAAAGATAAATATGTAGCAATTGGCCTTTGCTTTTATATATTTTAGATTTTTATGTGTCTGTCTGCTAATATTAAACTGCCCAAATGGTGGTAAAACTGCTTGGGTTAATTTTTCCAAACTTCTGAAACACAAAGAATTTACTGTCAGCTTATGTGTATATTATTGACCACTGTTCCAGCTATCATCCAAGAGAATTTGTATTTGGTTCCCCCAACAATCCTGGTTCTGGAAGCTCTCTGACCTGCTAGAATTGTAATCAGAAGAATAAATAACCTTAAGAAACAAGATGAACAGCTGTTGCCTCGTTCACAGATAAAGAAACCTGAGTCTGGGGCAGGATTGTACTGAGGTTTGCTAGACTGATTTAGCCCTTCATGGTAGATCAGACTAGGAAATAAAATCATGCAGATCAATATTAATTTTATTATGAAGCTCCCCCACTCTGTTTTGACTTATTTCTATATGTACTAAATGGAATTAGGATCATATAAACTTAAAGTCCTGAATCTGCTACAAATATTGTATTATTTGTACCTTATGCATGAGCTAAGAAACTGTACATACTAAATGTGAAGCACATTATCAAGTTCAGATTGTCTAGATTTGTAGACATGAGTGTCAGTGTGATAGTCAATCATAGGTCTCAAACAGAGTAAAAGAGATTTTTGAAATTCCTACTTCAGTCCCATATGTTGAATGGGCTGAATATCTTTAAATACTTTCAGGCAATTTGAGGGATAATACATACAGTAAGTGGGCTAAAATGGATTTACTGAAAATCAATACTCTTAGATAAAAGGTATTTTAGCCACAGAGTATAAACCCATAAACCCATGAATGGTTTTAGAGCTTAAACTTTGTACAATAAATTCTGTAATTACTGTATGCCCAGAGGCAAAACTAAATGTAAATTCAGGAGCATAGTTTTAGCATTTTTTTCTTAAGCAATTATTAAGAATATAAACAATTATTAGTCTATATAAAAATGACATTCTAGGACATAAATATTCATAGTAATAGGAAAAGATACAAACAACTCTTGCATTTTAGAAAGTAACAAAATGGGATCAGTAACAAGCAGAATTTATGATATGTTGTTTCTGAAGTTGGGAAGTTGGAGTGATGCAATAGCTGTTGCACTAAAATTTCACAAGAAAAAAAAATCAATGAATTTATTTTTACCTTAGTGATCATATCCTCTTAAAATAGTAGAGCTCTTTATTAGAATTTTTCACTCTTTTAAAATAAAATTCTACATTCAAACAAAGCATATGTTGAAGCATATTTGCTTACCTCCATCTAGTTCTTCTGCACCAAAATGGTTCCTGTAGAAGAGCATAATTTCTATCTTGTAGCACTTGTAAATAGTCACTAAACAAACAAGTAGCAGCAGAATGGCACCAAGCCCTCCAGCAAGTTCAACTGTATACATCAGCTCTAAAAAGAAGAATAAAAATTAATAACAACCACATTCTGAACTAAAAGCAGTTATTTATTATCATATCTTGGGGAAGAAGGAATTTTCTGTTTTTTTGAATGCAGAAACAATGAGTTTTTCTAATTTCTTGGTATACAGAGAGAGAGAGAGAAAGAGAGAGAAAAAGAGAGAAAGAGAGAGAGGGGGAGAGAGTAGGCATTAATAATTTTGTGGTGTGCAACTGGTATATGACATACAACATTCACATAGGATGAAGCTAAGTATTTTCTCAACACAAAATTACCATTCCTTTTTTATCAGCTACATTTGTTTTAATATATCCCTCCTTCCCTGGTGCTATACAATTCATAACCTCTCCTCTACTATATACTAAATGGGTTTGACTTTTTTTAAAAAAAATGTTGAAAATCATCTCAATTTGTCATTTTTGACATTCTGACATTAAGAGGTGAAATATTATCATTTTCTTGTGTAGCATTGTACCATGGGATATTATATGATTGATTGAAATCACTGCCAGGTTAGTTTCCAAAGAAGAAGAAGCTTGGGCAAATGTGGTTATATCTGTCTGTTTTCAATAATCATTTGGTACTGTCATTTCTGATATTATGTCAGTAAATGGCAATGTCATCTTTGGTCATTGTCCTCACATTTTCGAAGCAGGTAAAGACATGTACATTTCCATTTGAGGTCAACTATATTCTGGTTGCTTGCCTGAAAGTTCTATGATAGATGAAAACCACTAATAAAGCTGCAGTGCCAGACCATTTCCCTGGAAATAACCCCAATAACAATATGATTTCTTGGAAATTATTTCAGTATCATAAGGATGTTATACTGAATTTTCACTAAGGATGAAGAATTGTGTATTGTTCTAAAAAGTGTTAAAATTGACTTGGATAGTAAGTTGTGTAGCATTTATCTTTTAAAAAATGGATTATGGCTGGAGTAAAAAAAAAAAGCCTAATAGAAGAATGCAGACACAAACAACTCTACTTGTATTCAACAGTTTCTGGGTAAAGACTGTTGGTGGATCAGATATCCCTGCAAGCAGCTTCACAACTGAAGACGGCTCCTAGTGGTGGAATCACCACTATAAGACAGTTTTCTAGCAGAAGAAAATGTCTCTGGAGAAAAGATCTAGGAATGACTCCCTTCTGTTTCTTGTGATGAGACCACAGGAATTGAATTTCTCCTGGTCCATTGTGAGTGGAGTAACTTGGAAGCCAAGACATTTATAACACATTCTTAGCCACTGTGTGCAAACTGTGCAGACATTTCACAGTAAAAGTCTCATTTTCTTAAACACCTTTGGAACTTATTGATTTACAACCTAAGACCAATATTATAAACAGCATGGAAGATCAAAGTCTCCAATCAATTGCCTTCTTTCTGAAACTAAGATTAGGGGGGAAATGCTTTCTTAAAGGATTTTAATTTAAAAGGAAAAAGCTTAACAATATTGTGATTGAAGAAAGTTCTAAATGGATGTAGGTGAAAATATTTTTTTCTGACATATCTACCTTTCAAAGTAGCAAAATTAATTAGACTAATGGACAGGTCTTTTGTGGACACGTTTATTGTTTATTATTAAGGACAGTAGATAATTGGTGGACTTTACAAAACAAGTGTGTGAGTGTGCATGTGTGTGTATGCATGTGTATAATACATACACACACACACAAACACAAACACTAAATTTTAAGTACTATGCAAAGCTTATTCTAATTAAAATATAAAATGTACAAAAAATAAAATAAAAGAATAAGCCTGCCTTTCACTTTTACTATTGTAATTGGCATACTTTCACTTTCTCACATAGCAGCAAAAAGAAAAACTGCTATGTTAGGAGAAGGGCATGACCACAGGGATGCTGTAATGGTCATAAGTGTGAAAAACGGCCATAAGTCACTTTTTTCAATGCCATTGTAACTTCAAATGGTCACTAAATGAATAGTTGTAAATCGAGTACTACTTGTAGAGATTTATGTTGTCTGTCATGAAAATATACTGAAAGAGAATGGCACAATCTTTAGTTACATTTGTGCATATTTTACTTGACCCTTTGGTATTGTACAGTATTTATAAATTCCATCAATATTGTTAAACCTGGGGAAGACAATATGAACACAAGTTTAATGCCATTGATGGCAATGACATTCAGAATGCAGAATTGTTAGCTCTAGGAATATTACTATTTTGTGTTTGTTAGCTCAAAAATCTAATAAAATGTTTATGTCACAGTAATTGATCGTTAAGTTTCCACAAGACCCTTACTCTTTTCTTGAAAGAATCTGGCAGGCTAAGCTTAACACTATCCATGTTGCTATGTAGGATTTAGTTTAGAGAGTCTATTACTGCATAGCACCATAGACTGTATTTCAGTTAGAGCACTGCAAGCCTGTAGGGAAAAACATAAGCAACTATATTTATTTTCTCTGCTTAGGTATCTTTATGTTTATACTTCTCTAATGGAGATGCGTGCAGTTGCTATAAAAGCTTCAGAATTCTCTAGCAGGCAATAAAATGTAATTACATATGATTTTTTTAAAAAAAGAATTTATTGTTAATACTCTTCTCTTCAAAACTCTGGTGTAATTTCCTACATATTCTAAAGTTTTTAGTTTCATATATTTGACATGTTTCTTATCTATAGGAAAAATAAATAAACCCACAACAGCTAAGTTAAAATTGTTATAAAACTGAGTAGAAATTAAATGGACATAAAAACTATACAGCATAGCCTCACCATAATTCTTTTTATCAGTTTCTGTCACATGTGATGCAGCTGTTCAGCAGTAAACAGGAGATGGGAATTTAATGTGCCAGGTTCAAACTACACCATTTATGTCCCTTCTATAATGATAATGCATCACATCAAGGAGAAAATATCAGCATAAAAACATCTACCCTCCTATTACCAAATTAATCTGGGATGATTTCATGGATTTTTTGGTCATTATATATGCTCCTAAAAACACTTCATTTGGGATCTTTAAATAAAGTTTATGCTTTAGATGTTACAGCTGTCAAATCCCTGTAGCATATAGGTTTGTTTGTTTCAGTTCGGTGCAGTGTAATATAATTACATTTAAATGTTTATGGTCCATGTCTTTGTTCCCTGATTTTCTGTGCAATCTGTAGTTGCTGTCTATAGCATTCCTTGCATTATAGTTTAGACCAAAATTTCCGTGTGGAAGCTCTTCCATGCCTTCTGGATTATAAGCTTTTATACTGTATGACCTGAGCTCCACCAGGCTCAAATAACTATAGGCTGTTTGGGAGTTAGGAGTGAAATCCTTCCATCACAGGTTAGTGGAAAAAGAATGAAAAGGTACACCATTCCCCTCCTTTTAGGGGGGAAAAAGCACAGAAATAAAGGGCTCAGTGAAATAAAAAAGGGCAATGAAGAAATTATCTTGGGGATTGAGCCAGCAATTTTTATTTAGAATTTTAGCCATTATATTATTAGAGAACTCATGAGAGGAGTAGTTCTAAAATATACTCAAAACAAATAGGACAATTAGGATTTTTTTTTAAAAAAACCTTTCCTTATTGTGCCTGCACATATGTGAATTTTTATGCAATAACCTTGGATATACAAATTCAGCTTAACATTGTGTGTATGTATATATGTAATGTACTGTATCACAATGTATGTGTATAGATATGTGTATAATGTTTAAGTATAGGAACATTATACTTATACATTATATTGACATGTGAAGGAAAATGATTGGTCATTGATTTCTTGGAACAGAAAAGTAAAAGTAGAACAGCAGTTGAATTGTAAAATAAGAAGATGTGGTAGCCTGCAGTCCAGATAGAATACATTGCAAACTGTTGCCAAATTCTCTCAGTCAGAACATTTTTAAGTCAATGTAAAGGTAAGCTGGATTGAGGACAGTTTAAATATTAACTGTAGCATCAACAGAAAAAGAAACTGCACATAGGCTTGGCAACATAGATAATGTATGCATGATATATTGGGCATTGTAAGAAATGTCCCTGTGATTGTTGTGGATTCCAGTGATTTTTAAAGGCAATGTAAGAAAGATCCCATGTATATGTGGCAGATGCCTACCATAAAATTTAGATTTTGGAATCCATTACTTCAATACAAAAATCTGTCTGTCCTTTACTTTGGGAATTTACTGGATGAAACCATTACAAATGAAAAGCATAATGGTTCTAAGTCTATATGAAATTAAATAAAAACAAAATATAGATATACAGTATGTGTTATGAATATATAGCATGCTGTATTATTAGACATCTAATAATGTATTATATTTTTTATTTAATTTTAAGCTTTTTTCAAAGATTTCTTATAACGAAGTCCCATGGCATGTCACATGCATTTTTTTAAAGGTTCTGGGGAAAACAACTGCAATTCAAATCAAGAATTGCCTACTTTGCTCTTGTGTTCTAATATTAAATTACAGGTCCTTCAGTTTTTAAGAAATCAGCACTCTAAAAGCTGTCAATGAAAATTACCAGATGTTTCCTATGAGAAGTAGCATTATGCCAAGTGCAGCAAATATATGAGTGTCAAATAGCTACATTTGGGGACAAAGCAATCATTTAGCAGTTAACAATATTCATTTGGCAGAAGAAGTCTAAATTTACTCTTAGGGAAAATCCATTAGTAGCAGAAATATATTTTTTGGGGGAAGGAGATTGATTGTTTAATAATAAATTGTTTTAATGCCCTATAAGTGGTTTGATCAAGGCATAGATCTGTTCTCTTATCTGGATAATTAAATCACCAACCTCAGTTAAAGAACAGTTAATTAAAATTAAGTGTTTATATTTTCTGGACACATTGAATGGCATCATGAATGATAGATGTGTTTATTTTATAAAAAGTTTACTATAATTATCAGATGCATTTATGGGCTATATATTTCATCTGCACCTGTTTTTAATTTTTGATGAATTTCCTCAGCAATGACACACAGGTAATTTAGTTATCATTAACTGCATTTGCACAGAGAAG